TTCTTAACTCAAAACCAGGTGGCAGGCTCCATTGCCAACTGCTGTCTTAAAGTGACCACTAAAATAACAAAACAGGGGCCAGTGCTGTGGCGCAGGGGGTTAAGCGGCCGCTGTGACGCCAGCATCCCACACCAGAGCCCCAGTTCTAGTCCTGGTCGTTCCGCTATTGATCCGGTTTCCTGCTAATGCACCTGGGAAGGCTGCAGAGGACGGCCCAAGTGCTTGGGCCTCTGCCACCCACGCGGGAGACCCAGAGGGAGTTGAAGGCTCCTGGCTTCGGCCTGACCCTGCCCCAGCCGTTGTGGCCATGTGGGGAATGAACCAGAGGTTGGAAGATCGATCTCTCTCTCTCTCTCTCTCTCTCTCACTCTTTCAAATAAAGGAGTATTTTAAAATCAGGCAGAGTAGATTTCAGAGCCAGGAATATTGCCACAGATAGTGAAGGTAATATCAAAACGCTAAGGAGATCAATGAATCAAGTAACAGTATTTCATAATCCTAAATATCTGTGCCCTGATAACAGAGCCTCAAACTAGATTAAGCAAAACCTGGCAGAATTAGAGAGAGAAACAGACAAACCCAGAGTTACAGCTGGAGCTCTCAGACTTTCCCTTTCAACCACTGACAGACAAGTGAAAAACCATCACCAAGGACAAAGCAGCCTGGAGCTCTGTGGGCCAACACAGCCTCCAACTGATATGCAGAGGACGCTACATTAACCACAGGGTACAGAGTATTTTAAGTGTGTGTACACTATTCTGAGCCATAAAACAAGTCTCAAAAAACTTAAAAGAATTTAAAACGTACAAAGTATGTTTTCTGCCCACAATGGAATTGAAAATTGGCAGCAGAAAAATACCTGGAAATATTTCAAACTATCTGGAAACCAAATAGCAGACTTTTAAATCTACTGGTCAAAGAAGAATTCAAAAGAGAAAATTATAAGGAATACTGAATTAAGTGAAAATCAAGATACAACATATCAGAATTGTGAGATAAGGCTAAAGCAGCTTTCAGGGGAAAATTCATAGTACTCAATAACCTACATTAAAACAGGAGCAAGCTCTCAAATCAATGACATGAACTTTCATCCTAAGAAATCACAAAAAGACAGGGCCAGCATTATGGCCGCGGCGAGGCCACCACTGGGACACCCATCCCATACGGGCTCTGGTTCCGTGTCCGGCTGCTCCACTTCCAACCCAGCTCCTTGCTCATGGCTTGGGAAAAGCGGCAGAAGGTGGCCCAAGCGTGTGGGCCCTGCCGCCCGCTAAGGAGACCCAGAAGAGGCTCCTGGCTCCAGGTTTCGGCCTGGCCCAGCCATGGCCATTTAATCTGTCTGGGGGAAGAGAACCAGTGGATGAAAGATCTCTCCCCTCCCTCTCTCTCTAACTCTGCCTTTCGAAATAAATAAATAAATATTTTAAAAAATTTTAAAAAGAACAAAATAAATTACAAAAAGAATAAATTAAACCCAAGATTCAGAAGAAAGAAGATAAAAGTTAGGTTAGGGGCTAATGAAATAGAAAGTGAAAAGAGGGAGAAAAGTAGCGAAACCCTCGCTGGTTCTTGGAGAAGACGTGGGTCAGGCGCTATTTTGAGCCTCTGGGGACCCAGCAATCAACGGGCAAAAAAAACCCCACAAAACCCAGAGAAGGTGCCCGGCTGGTCCTTTACAGTCTTGTCCCTGGGAGGTTCTTCCCTCCTACCCTCCCACCCAGAGAAGGCTCCGCCCCTGGTGACCGCGACCCCCGGCCCCCACGCCACACCAAAGCTTCTGTTTCCTTCACTGTCCATGGCTCAGACAGGACCCGGGTCAGGTGCAAGGCCACCTCAGCTCTCCCACGGCTCACGGGCTGTCTCGGAATTGAAGCCGGGAAGATCAGAGCCCAGGAGCAGGCTCTTAGAGGCGGGGGCCGAGGGTCCCCCGAAGCAAAGTCAGCAGCTCAGATCAGAGATGCTATGGGGGGTGGGGAGCCACAGCCTGAGCCCCAACTCTACTAAGGACTGGGGGTCAGAAGGTCAAATCGGGTTTTGGGATCAGTGGGTTAGGAGGATGTAGGTTGGGGGGGGCATGAAAATCAAGGTTCAGGGAAAGTAGGTCGGCAATGATCGAATCGGGCTCAAAGCTGATCGGAAACCGGGTTTTGTTACAAATTAGGATGGGGGGGGGGGTGAAGTCAGGAAGTCCCGCAACGGAAGTCAGATTCAGGAGTGACAGGTTGGGAAACCACAGACATTCAGAAACGAATGGAGAATCAGGCCTCGGATCCGAGGGCTTCGTTTAACAGCCTAAGGTTCACTCACGTGTCGCCATCCTCAGTGACGTAGCCGAAGACGAGCGGAGCCCACGATAGCCCTGGGCCCAGCTCTGCGCCCAGCCCCGGGCCTCCTGGGGCTGCCGCGTCCGGCCCCAGAGAGCCCAGGCCGCTGTCGCACCATTCATCCGCGTCCGCACCTTTTCCCAAGCACGCAACCCCAGCCATGGCCCCCAGCCACCTCAGGGCCCCCCGCGGCTCCCCGCCTGCCGCTGGGCTCTGCCCGGAGCTCCGGCACTTCCGCCCTGCGGGAAATTCCCCAACACGCCCCCTGGTAAATCCAATTAGAGTGGGCGAAATCGGTCACGCCCCGCCCCCATGGTGCAGGGTGGCCAATCAGAGCACTGGGATGCACGACGGCTCTCGGGCAATACCCACATTTTCCGAGCGCCCTTTACTAACATGGCTGCCACCGCCAGGCCGTCTGGGACTCGTAGTTCCGCCTTCGGGCGCGCACGGGGCGTTTGCGGGAAAGCCCTGTATGCGGCCGAGATGGGTGCTGGGAGTCGTAGTTCTATGCCCGACGCCGTCCCCTTCTGTTTCCGGTGCCGTCACGGGACAGAGCAGTCGGTGACAGCCCCGAGGGCCCCCGCCCCGAGCCCATGGCCGAGCCGGATCGTGAGTCGGGGGCCCCGGTGGAAGGGTCGGGCCGCGCCGGGGCCTGGCCGAGGGCTGCAGGCCCCGGGGCCCGAGGGCGGGCGCGGGGGGCTGGGAGCGCAGGGCTACACTGAGGGAGCGGGGTTCCGAGGCTTGTAGTTAGGTTGATCCACACTCGCGGGGTGGCGGGTCTCTGGGTCGCGAGGTTTTAAGGGTCCGTTTACCTCGTCCGTGTTCCAAGTTACTAATGATCGTGTGTTTCTCACACTTTGGTTGCTGAGGACCCTCGTTACTGAGGACAAAAGTTGCCGCGGTCCCGGTTGCTAAGAGCACCTGGTTGTCAGGGGCAACCGTAGGATGCTAGGGGTGCCCGGGTGTCCCGTCCCGTCTCTCCCCTGCAGTTCCTGTGCCATCACCTCCACCGCTCCTCCTCTCCCAAACCCGCCTCCAGCCCGAGCCCCGCTTCCTGTCTAAACCTTCCTCTGCCTTGGGAGCCTCCTCTCCCTCCCCGCACACTCACACACTGCTCTGCCCTGTCTAACTCTTCCTAAGCTTCCTCCAGCCTCTCTTCCCAACCCTGCCCCGCCACAGCCACTCTGCCCCTACTCACCACCTCTCCCGCCAGCCCCCTCCCCTGCCTCCCTCCGCTCAGCTTTTGCCACTCCACCGCCCCATGACCCGGCATAATCAGTCGGTGGGTCTTCTTGCCGCCCCTGCCCCCGCTCCCACCGCGGCCACTTTTAACCCTTCATTCCCTCTTAACCATTCCCCCCACTGTAACCACGTCTGCTCCCCCTCCTCCCCCAGCCTCTGACCCTCTGGAGACCCAGGCAGGGAAGGTGCAAGAGGCTCAGGTGAGATGGGGAAATGGTGGAGGGGAGGAGGAAGCTGGACTCGTTCCCACATCCCACTCTGGGGGGAGGTGGCAGAGGGGAGACATTTCCCCCGGGGCCCCTCGCCCCGCCTTGCAGGGGTGCAGCCTCTTGGGGAATGGGGGGTGTTGGGGACCTCCGAGAAAAACGTACAGCCTCAGCCCCAGGCCTGCCTTCCTAAACTTTCCTCTCTCTTTGCTGCTGCCCACCCCCCTTCCCATTCCTTCTGAACCTCGTTTGTGTTGGCCCTGGAAGAGCCAGGGATCCCCTCTGGTCCCTGAGCTCCCCAGAGCGAGCGTGGTGGGTCATGGAGCACCCCAGCCAGGCCTTTCCCTCGGAGAATCCCCAGGCTGGCCCAGGAGTGAGACTGAGATGTAGACGCAGCATAGTGAGTGAAGAGTGACTTAGAACATAGATGAGGTGAGGAGGTGTTCCATGGGACGGCTGCAGCTGTGCGGAGACCGGGGCGCGACCGTGCGATGCAGGCTGGGGGCGGCCGGCTCACAGCAGCCTCGGTTAGCGTGTTCACCGGCTGCTTAGCCAGCCAGGCGCTCTGCGTAGTGCAACATCTCATTTTGTCTGCCCAGCACCCGCATGAGCGGTAAGACCTATCGTGGCCATCATACAGATGAGGGATTTGAGGCAGCGCTCCTAAGTGACCTGTGCTCTGTCCCTTCGCTGGAGGAAACCCATGGCACGCGGCACGCTGCCTTCTAGACCCGGGTACTGGTCATGGTCAGTGTCCCCTGCTCCCCCCACGCAGAGCTGCCCCCATGTGTTGGGCGGCTCCCGCAGGGCCTTGCTGTGTGCAGCCAGGAATTGTGCCAGCTCACCCGCACCCCTGCTCCCACGCACAAACACGCGGGAGACGGCTTCTCACGGATGGGGCCGTGCAGAAGCTGTGGTTTGAATACCGCACGGGTGCACGGCTGGGCCACACGGAGGGCCCCAGGGTCTCCCGCTGGGCCGCAGCGCCTGGCTGGCCTGGCTCCTGCAGCAGGGCCACTGCGGGAAGAAAAGCTTCCAGTGTAGGAAAGGGATCCTGGGCCGGAGGTCGTAAATGGCAACATTGTCCATGACAGGGCAGAACTGGAGCCGGAGCCGGGTAAATGCACTATGGTTCCCGCACACAATGCAACACTATGCAGCTGTGTCAGAGAATGAGGTGGCCTTCAGTGTGCTGCTCGGGGCAGACGCAAGGTGCGGCGCCGCATGGAGGGTGGCCCTTTTACAAGAATGAGTTTTTCTATGCGGAGAAAAAACTCTAGAATAGCTCCACTGAACTGGTGACTTATCTCAGTGGGGGTAGACGGGGAAATGACAAGGCCAGTGCCTAAGTTACACACTGTCTAGTAGCCAAGTCTTTTTTTTTTTTTTTTTTTTAAGATTTGTTTATTGATTTGAAAGGCAGAATGACAGAGAGAGGGAGAGACAGATTTCCATCTGCCGTTTCACTCTCCAAATAGCCACCACAGCCAGAGTTGGACCAGGCCAAAGCCAGGAGCTTGGAACTCCATCCGAGTCTCCCACATGAGTGGCAGGGGCCCAAGCACCTGGGCCGTCCTCCGCTGCTTTCCCAGGCCCATCAGCAGGGAGCTGGATTGGAAGCGGAACAGCTGGGACTCAAACCAGGGCTCAGAGGGGATGCTGGCGTTGCAGGCGGCAGCTTAACCCGCCGAGCCACAACCCCGGCCCCTGATGGTCAGCTTTTTTCAAAACCTGTGCAATCTTCAAAAGCAATGAATGCAAATACAATGTGTTTGGAAGGGAGGTTCCTAACCCTAAAGGCCTGGGCAGGTGAGTGATGCGCGGTGGGCGGGGGCCACGCGCGGGGTTTAAGCAGGAGAGTGTGTCGTCAGAACTGAGGCAGACGGCTGTGCAGCTGGAGCCCGGTGCCGGGCCCTGCTCGGTGGTGACCAGAGACAAAGAGCTTGCCTGTGCGGAGCTGGCCACCTGGCGGACTGCGGAGACGTCTGTGGCTGCATCGTGAGGCTGGAGCAGCCAGAGAGGAGGCCCCGCAGGCAGAGGGCAGGGGCAGACCTGGAGGGCTGGAGGAGAGATAAGAGAGGCAGAGGCCGGGAGCCCAAGGAGGAGGCCAGAGCAGGGGCCCTGGGAGAGGATAGGCTGGACCGAGGAGGAGGGCACAGGCTAGACCAAGGAGGAGGGTACAGGCTAGACTGAGGAGGAGGGCACAGGCTAGACTGAGGAGGAGGCCACAGCGGGGCCCCGGGGAGGAGGGCACAGGCTAGACCGAGGAGGAGGCCACAGCAGGGCCCCGGGGGAGAGCACAGGCTGGACCGAGGAGATCGGGGTGGGGTAGGGGGTCAGGAGGGGCTGGGGGCTGTGGGAGAGTGAGGGCCCAGGGTAGCAGGCACCTGGCTGGCTGAGATCGGTCCCCGGAAGAGCACATCTCCGGGAGATGAGCCGCTGGGGCAGGCCCCGGGGTGGGGGGAGGACTGAGAGGCAGGGAGGCCACCTGAGGTGCGGTGTCCAGGAGGCCGCAGGAATCCTGGGTGTGGGCCGAGGAGGCAAGCAGTAGGGGAGGTGGGGAGAGAGCAGAGGGCCTTTGGTCCGGGCAACACCTAGGGGTGACCTTGGTGAGCAGGGCTGCCGCGCAGGGGCAGCAGGTCCCTACACCGAGGACAGGGGACACCGGGCGTGAGACAGCAGCCACAGCCAGCACTTACCGTGAGCTCCCTGCCACTGCACCTGCTTCGGGGTTCCTCCCCACGGCAGCCTCTGAGCCAGGAGCCTGGACACACAGAAGGGCGCCACCCTCCTGGGTACCACCCCGCAGCCCTCCCCCATCCCTCACTGTCTCGGGCCACCTCCCAGCTAGAGCCTGTCCCCAGTCCTGGGGTCACCCCATCCCCCCTCACCTCTCCGGCTCGGCCACCCCGCCCCGCCCCTTGCAGGATTCCGATTCTGACTCCGAGGGAGGAGCGGCTGGCGGAGAAGCAGAGAGTAAGTGGCAGCTGGGCTTGGGAGGGCTCAGGGCGGGGGGCTGGGGGCAGCCCCTCAATGCCACCAGGAGCGACCGCCTTCCAAGGATGTGGCAATGGGCCTGGTGCCAGCACCAGGTAGGGTCCTGGAGGCCTCGGGTTTTGGGGAGGCCGGGGATCCCAGGGCCCCTGGGGCCACCCATGCTCTCCACTGAACGCCTGCCTGGCATCTGTCTCTCTTCCTTCGGGTCAGTGGACTTCCTGCGGAATCTGTTCTCCCAGACCCTGGGCCTGGGTACCCAGAAGGAGCGGCTGCTGGACGAGCTGACCCTGGAAGGCGTGAGCCGCTTCATTCAGAGCGACCGCTGTAAGTGTCCCTCCGGCCACCTCCGCTGCCCCTGCCCCCAGCCGCAAGCGCTGTTCATCCCACTTCTTTTGTTTACGCATTGCGAGAGATCCAGGTTGAACTGGCTTCAGCCAGAAAAGGAGTGAGCTGACCCTCTGGCTGAATGCAGGTGCTCTGTGTTCTCACTGGTCACCTTTCGCTGGCACTGTGTCTGTGTAGCGATAAAGATAGCTCCTGGCACCTCCAAGTGCAAGTGCTCCCCGCCCAGCAGCTCCACCGAAAGAGAGCATGCTTGTGTTGCAGTGATTCAAGCAAAAGAGCAAAGGAGCCTCCAGGGGACCCGGCTGGGCCATCGCCTGGCCCTGGAACAGTCGCTGGGTCTGATGGGCCGGGCCTGCTTCCTGGAATGAGGGCGATCACACAGGTTGAATAGCTCTATTCTGTTTTTTAAAGATTGATTGATTGATCTTTTATTTGAAAGGCAGAATTACAGAGAGAGAGGAGAGACAGAGAAAGAATCTTCCATCCTCTGGGTCACTCTCCCAATGCCTGCAGTGGCCAAAGCTGAGCCAGACTGAAGCCAGGAGCCCAGAGCTTCATCTGGGTCTCCCACACAGGTGCAGGGGCCTAAGGACTTGGGCCATCTTCTACTGCTTTCCCAGGCCATAACAGAGAGCTGGATTGGAAGTAGAGCAGCTGGGACTCGAACTGGCATCCATATGGGATGCTGGCACTGCAGGCTGGGGCTTTAACCCACTGTGCCATGGCACTGGCCGCACACCTGCATTTTGTCTATGACCTGTTGCATGAGGTCAGGTGTGGAATTTTCCATTTGATGTGTCATGTTAGCGCTCAGACTGCATCTGTAATAGCGTCCATCCACCCTGAGGGTCCTCACGGGGTGTGAGCGCCGAGGCAAGGATTTCGGGGAGCAGGGCCGCCATCGCGCTGAGGTTTCTTGCCGTGGTCTGGGCTCACCAGAGTCTGAGAGGCCAGGCCCTCAGCAGTCCTTGAGGGGAACAATCGCCCCTTTGAGGGTCGTGAACAGCCTTTTGTGAAGGAGTCTTCTCCAGTTTCCCCAGCCTCCTCTGTGGCCCTGGCCGCTGCCCTCTCCCGGGGAGACCAGGCAGCTGTCCGGAGCCGTCCTCCGGCTGGGCGGGCCCCAAAGCGTGCTCAGGCAGCAACGTGCGTCACTGGCTCGGGGCGGGGCCTGTCAGAGGGCATTCAGAAGTCCCGCAGCGACCTGGGCGCGGGTCGCAGGCCCCGGTGAACAGATCACAGGCGTTTATTGTGATCTTCACTTCACACGTTGGACGGGAGTGATCTGGGCAAGCACCCGAGGCACAGGCTGGTGGCGACTTGGAATAGGCAAACAGCTGGCCAGTGGCAGAGCCTGAACGCATGTCGCCTCCACTCAGCCCCCGACTGGGTCCAGCCAGGCCCAGCCCAGACAAAGCCAAGGGCCACGCTGTGACATGCCTTGACCTTTGCCCGCCTTGCTGTCCTGCCCTGGACAGGACACCCCTGAGGCGCCCGGCTCACGGGGTGTCACACCTGCCTCTGTCCGTCAGCTGACGGGCAGGTGCCCAGGGTGCACACGGCAGGGTGCCCGCTGGGCAGCGCCGGGCTTGCGATGTGGTGCCACCACCTACCATATCCTGCCGTCTTTAGTGAACGCAGGGAGAACGGGGGCTGCAGATCACCACTCGGAGCAGGAGCGGCCGGTGGAGCCGGCCCATGGCACAGGGATTCAGACTCCTAGGAGCACCCACACCCTGATCATGAGCGAGCACCTGGTGTGAATCCCCACTTCCAGTCCAGCTCCCCGCTAATGCACGTTCTGGGAGGCTTCAGGTCGTGGCTCAAACACGTGGGGTCCCTGCCATGCACGTGGGAGACCCAGATAGAGTTCCAGGCTCCTGGCTTCAGCCTAGCCCAGGCACGGCTGTCGTGTGCACTTGGGGGATGAACCAGCGGATGGGAGACTGACTTTCTCTGTTGCTCTGCCTTTCTGATAAATAATACATTTTAAACCCTTTTAAATAGCTGACACATATCCAGGGTCTGCTCGGTGCTGGGTGCCTTATTTACATTAATTGACTCCGCAGCAGCCCTGCAGGTCAGCGCTGTAGTTATGCCCATTTCACAGAAGACGAGGCTGAAGCCCAGAGTCGAGATACGAACCGTGTAGGACCCCACGGCTCCCAGGAGCAGGAGAGCCAGGCCGTGAAGCCCCACCCCCGGCCCCACCCCTCACTGCTCCCTGCGTGGGCTGAGAGTGGCAGGCCTCAGTCTTCCCCTGAGACCCCCACCCTCGGCTGGCCGAGGTGTGTTTGATGATGGACGGGAGTGACCTGACAAAAGAGCACGCAGAACGTGCTAGAAGTACGCAGTCCCTGGAAGCGCCTGCAAGGTGGAGTGTGCCAGCATCTCCCTGGGCCCCCCGCCCCTCCCCCTGAGGTCCCAGGGGTTTTTGTCCAGACGTGATTAGAATACTAGGTCAAACTGACACTAAGTTCAAGCCATTGCAATTGGTGTTGTTTCTTTTATATGTATATAATTTCATTTATTTGGAAAGCAGAGTGACACAGAGAGGGGGAGAGAGGGAGGGAGATCTTCCATCCCCTGGTTCACTCTCCAAATGGTTGCAAGAGCCAGGCTGGGCCCGATGAAGCCAGGAGCCTGGAAGTCTCCCCGGGTCTCCCACACCGAGGCAGGGGCCCAAGTCCTTGGCCTGTCTTCCGCTGCCCTCCCAGGCGCGGTAGCAGGAAGCTGAGTGCTAGCGCTTGAACTGGCACTCTGGTGGGAGGTGCCAGCAGCACAGGCAGCTGAACCCACTCTGTCGTAACATCAGCCCAGCTGGTGTAATTCCTAACAGGCAGGTTCTTTGTCCCCTTGCTGTCCTACCCTTTGGCAGTGTGACCCTTCCCCCAGCCCGTCTGTGAGGTGGGGGAGGGCCATGACACCCCTGGGGCCTGGCCTGGGGCACTGCCCCAGGTGACCATGCACGTCTGCCCCCAGGTCGCAGGATCATCTGCCTGGTGGGCGCTGGCATCTCCACGTGTAAGTGTGCCCTCCCCCAGCAGCTGCCCCCACATCAGGGCCGGGGAGGGTCCCTGAGTCACAGCTCCTTGCCCCTCCCCACCCAGCCGCGGGCATCCCTGACTTCCGGTCTCCGTCCACCGGCCTCTATGCCAACCTGGAGAAGTACCGGCTGCCCTACCCAGAGGCCATCTTTGAGATCGGCTACTTCAAGGTGTGTGCCCCCCAGGGAAGCGGGTCTGCCACCAGCAGGGGGTGGGGCCTCCGGGCTCCAACCTCCATCTCACCTGGGCACCTGGCCCTGTGGCTCTCTCCCCCACAGAAACATCCGGAACCCTTCTTCGCTCTTGCCAAGGAACTCTATCCCGGGCAGTTCAAGGTGGGCTTTTTTTTTTTTTTTTTTTTTTTTTGAGAGAGGGGAACAGGAGAGGTTGAGGAAGAGTGGTCATGGATGGGTGGGCCCCCTTCAGAGCCTTTAGTTTAGGGGTCCTGGGCCCAGACTGCTCAGGTTCAACTCCTAGTCCCACCTCTTCTTGTCTTGTGACCTTGAACTTCTGTTTTCCCATCTGTAAAATGGAGTCGATGCTGGTATCTGAGCCGTAAGCCAGTTAACGGTGCCCACCAGAGCCTGGAGGCTGGGGCCAGTTGCCCGACCCAGCCAGCCAGCCACCGCCCCGTGCCCCCCTGTCCTCTTCTGTGACATGGGGAAAATGGTGGCCTCTTGCTGGCGCGGCCGCTGTGAGGCCTCCCTGGGGGAGAGGCGCGGCCCGGCCCGTGTCTGACCGCGCCGCCCCTCCCTGCAGCCCACCACCTGCCACTACTTCATCCGGCTGCTGAAGGACAAGGGGCTGCTGCTGCGCTGCTACACGCAGGTAGGCGGGGCGCGGGGCGGGGCGGGTGGTCCGCTGCGTCCTGGCACCTTCCCCGGTGCTTCCTTGCCGTGTGCCCTGCAGCCAGTGACTTCCTTCCTGCCTCAGTTTCCCCTTGTGTAGAACAGGGGCCTGAGCAGCTTTGCCCTCTCTGTCTGTGGCAAGCCGGCCGCCAACTCCTCTTGGGGCCAGCCGCGAGGTCCCGCAGAGGTGTCCATGGTGTCGGCAGGAGGACTGCTGGCCAACGGCGTGCAAGCCGAGCGCCGAGCGACTTGCTCTGGCGCCATCGGGACACTGGGACGGTCTCCCCACAGCGGGGACCCAGGCCTGCTGTCCCACAAGCTCGGCCTCGGCGGCCTGGGGTGCTCGGGCGGGGACGAGCCGGTGGGACTTTGGGGACCTCGAATCTCTAATGTAAAAGATGCGTGCGCTCCCCTTTGGTTTTCTGAATTCACCTAGAAACTATACCTTAGCACCTCAGATGATAAAACAGGAATGACAGTGGAACGTAAGCCAGAAGACCCGGCTTTTTGCAACTGCAGCCTCAGAAGCCGCCACCAGGGGGAGCAAGGACTCTTTGTTAGGTTCAGATTTCTCGTGGGGCAGGTGTGCCCACCTGGGGCCGGCAGTGGTGGCAGGGGGAGGGACAATTGCCCCCTTCACCCTGCTGCCCAGACAGTCAGGACTTGACCCGCACAGCTCGCTGGGAGCCGGGTGCTTTCCCCATGTCGGCCACACCCAGCCCCGCCGGCAGCTGTGTCTATCAGCTAGCTGTCACAGTGTCTCTGAGTGGCCACCCGGTGCCGGGCCCTGCCAGCTGTGAACACCCTGACTCCGTGGAGCTGATACGGCGGCCAGCACGGGGCTGTGGCGCTCGTGTGCCTCCCGGTGATTGGTCTCGGGGACACCCTCAGCAGGAAGGAAACCAGAAGCACCACATGTATGCCTGTGTGCACATGTGTATGCGCGCACGTGTGTGTGTGTGTGTGTGTGTGTGTGTTTGGGAGGGTGTGGTGCTGTTGTGAACAAGGTGGCAGGGACAGCTCACTGAGAAGGCAACATTTAAGCAAAGCCCTGGCAGGAGCTGAGGGAGGGAGCCTTGGGGTTATCCAGAGGAGTGTGTTCTGATCAGGGAGCAGCAGTGCTAAGGCCCCGACGTGAGACAGTCCGCTGTGGGTCTGAGGGAGCAATGGAGAGGCTGTAGGGGAGAGTGCAGGAGTCACGGTCAGGGAGGTGACCCTGTGGTGCCTTGAGCCAGGAACTCAATCCTGGTCTCTTGTGGGTTTGTATTAGCAGGAAGCTGAGTCAGGAGCCAGAGCTGAGTATTCTTTTTGTCTTTAATTTTTAAAAATGTATTTGAGGGGCCGGCGCTGTGGCATAGTGGGTAAAGCTGCAGTGCTGGCACCCATATGGGTGCCGGCTCAAGACCCGGCTGTTCCACTTCCAATCCAGCTCCCTGCTGCGGCCTGGGAAAGCAGTAGAAGATGGCCCAAGTGCTTGGGACCCTGTACCCGCCTGGGAGACCCAGAAGAAGCTCCTGGCTCCTGGCTTCGGATTGGCGCAGCTCTGGCCGTTGTGGCCAGTTGGGGAGTGAACCAGCGGATGGAAGACCTCTCTCTCTCTCTGCCTCTCCTTCTCTGTGTAGCTCTTTCAAATAAATAAATCTTTAAAATAAATTTTATTTGAAAGGCAGAAAGAGAGAGAGAGAATCTTCCATCCACTGGTTCACTCCCCAATTGGCCACAGTAGCCCAGGTTGGGCCAAGCAGAAGCCAGGAGCCAGGAGCTCCATCCGGGTCTCCCATGTGCGTGGCAGGAACGCAAGCACTCAGGCCATCTTCCACTGCCTTCCCAGACACATTAGCAAGGAGCTGGGTGGGAAGCAGAGCAGCCTGGACTTGAACTGTGTGCATGTGGGATGCCGGCGTCACAGGCAGCAGCTTGATCTGCACTGTCACAACCCCAGAGCCGCCACAGCCAGGCGCTCCGAGATGGGACACGGCGCATAGCCGCTGGGCTGAATGCCTGTCCCCCTCCCCCATGCCTTTGTGTTTTTTAAGATTTATTTATCTGTTTGTTTTTAAATTTTGTTTATTTATTTGAGAGAGAGAGTTACAGAGAGAGAGGAAGAGACAGAGAGAGAATCTTCCATCTGCTGGTTCACTCCCCAAATGGCTGCAATGACTGGGGCTGGGTCAGGCCAAAGCCAGGAGCCAGGAGCCTCCTCTGGGTCTCCCACGTGGGTGCAGGGGCCCAAGGACTTGGGCCATCTTCTGCTGCTTTCCCAGGCCATAGCAGGGAGCTGGATCAGAAGTGGAGCCCCCGGGACTCGAACCGGCGCCCATAGGAGATGCTGGCGTCCCAGGCTGAGGCTTAGCCCATGTGCCATAATGCTGGCCCCCAGATGCCATTCTTCCTGAGAGCAAACAGGAGTCTGTTCCAGGCCCATGTGCAGTCTGCAGGCTTTACCTGTTCCTTGCAATAAGTGACGCACGGATTTAATGTAATGCCCGCATTTAAGATGCATAGTACACAAAGCATATAAGGTGGGGGAGGTGTTCCGTGCTGGCGTTCCACGAAGCTGCTCCGTGCGCCCTATTCTTCCACTTCCGCCAGCTGAGTCACTGACCCCGTTTGCTGGGACTCGCTGCCCTCCCTGGGTCTGAGCTCACAGACGGGCGCTTTCCAAGCTGTGTGTGCTATTTTTACCTCAAGACACAGCCTGCATTCAAGACAGCAGTGTGGTGCTTGTGTTCATTCAAGTCGCCCTGACCTCCAGGGCCGCACAGCCCTGGGCTCAGTTACCAGCCTCCCCCCTACCCCGGGGGTGGAGAGGGGTCTGCAGAGAGCTCATAGAAAATGCATAGAATGCAAATCCCGCTGCTGCTTCTTAAAGATTTGTCTGTTTGTTTGTTTATTTATTTATGAAAGGCAGAATGACAGAGCAAAAAGGAAAGAGGGAGCGAGAGCTTCACCTGCTGGTTCACTTCCCAGGGGCTTGCAGTGACTGGGGCTGGGCCAGGGGAAGCCAGGAGCCAGGAGCTTCATCTCGGTGCAGGGGCGCCAGCACTTGGGCCGTCTTCTGCTGCTTTCCCAGGCCGTTAGCAGGGAGCTGGATTGGAAGTAGAGCAGCTCGGCTCACTGGGTCAGCCCCCACCCCTGCTCGCTGAGTAGCCCTGCCAGTCGCCAGGCTGCCTGCCCAGGGCCAGCGTTCAAGTAGCCAGCGGCTCCAGGCACAGGAGGCCTGGGCAAAGGTGGTGGCAGGGGGGACGGGTGCTCACCCATGCCTGGGCAGCCTCGCGGGCCTTGCTGGGAGCTGCGCACTTGGACCTGGGCTGTGAGTGACAGGTTTTCGGTAGAAACTGCACTTTGACCTTTGCACTTTTTTTTTTTTTAAAGATTTATTTATTTGCTTGAAAGGCAGAGTTACAGAGAGGCAGAGACAGAGAGAGGTCTTCCATCCGCTGGTTCACTCCCCAGTGCTGCAATGACTGGAGCTGCACCGATCTGAAGTCAGGAGCCAGGAGCTTCTTCCGAGTCTCCCATGTGGGTGCAGGGGCCCAAGGACTTGGGCCATCTTCTACTGCTTTCCCAGTCCATAGCAGAGAGCTGGATCAGAAGTGGAGCAGCCAGGACTCGAACTGGTGCCCATACGGGATGCTGGCACTGCGGGCGGCAGCTTTACCTGCTATACCACAGTGCCATCTCCAAACTTGGTTCTTTTCCCAGGCTAGCGAGACACAGTGGAACCCTCTCCCTGAGGGGACCAGCTGAGGCCACACTGCACACCGTGGTGCTCGGGTCAGCTGTAGTTGGCGTGTTCCCCACTCACAGTGGGGTTATCAGTTTGGGATCTGTCGTAAGCCAAGGAACATCTATGTACATAGGGCTGGGCACTGGGCTCAGCTTCAGGCATCGGCGGGGGTCCTTGGGTTGCATGCCCTCTGACTAAGGAGACTGCTGTGGTTCTATTGCATGCTATTTAGTTGTTGTGGTGTTTTGTTTGGTGTTGTTTTAGGATTTATTTATTTGAATGGCAGAGGGAGGAGGAGACAGAGATATTTATCCACTGGTTCACTCCGCAGTGGCTGCAACAGCCCAGGCTGAGCCAGGCTGAAGCCTGGAGACAGGAGCTCCATCCGGGTCTCCCATGTGGGTGCAGGGGCCCAAGCACTTGAGCCATCCTCTGCTGCTTTCCCAGACACGTTAGCAGGGAGGTGGATCAGATGTGGAGCAGCCAGGACTCGAACTGGTGCCCACATGGGATGTCAGCACTGCGGGCGGCAGCTTCACCCTCTGTGTCACAGCACTGGCCCCTGCTGCTCGGCCTGTGGCACGCACCTTGCGGGCTCGCAGTGAGGGAGACCGTTAGACTGAGTCGAGTAGCACAGGCCAATGAGGGCTTATAGCAGCAAGGGAGGAGGGCGGCTGCGGGTGTGGGGCCGGGGCCCCCGGGCTGCAGGTGGTAGGAACAGAGCAGTCTGCCCCTCCTGCTGCTTGTGGAGTCGCCAGGGGCCTTGGCAGGTTGGTAGTGGGCGGCGCCTGGCAGGCCATCTGTGCTGACGTCTGCCATGGCATCTGCCAGGACCTGCCTAGCAGCGCTCCTGGGGGCTGGGCGTTCTGAGAAAAACCACAGAGCACACACGTTCCTGTGGGAGAGAACGTGCCGGCTTGTTGAATATGGAACACTTCTCTGTCTCAAAAGGATTCGGGCTCCTGCACTGTCCACGATACAGTCTATGGTTAAGAACCCTGGCTCCTAACAGGAGAACAATGTGATGAAAACCAGATAAGCCCTCCTGATTCATTTATTTATGTCAGTGCTTGGTGAGGGCTGCCACACACAGTGGTGCAGGTTGGGCACTGCCCAAGGATGTCACCTCTGAGGCAACCCCCTCCACAGCACAGACATTATAGATCTACGTATTTAAAATGTCGGACTCCCACAAAACACCCTACCTGAAACATCAGAGTTAAAGTGGCACGGATTTGCAGGGAGATGCCATTTGGGCTGGTGGTGACAGGGGCCTGGGCTTGAAGACACTTGGGTTTGGGCCCCTGGCGTGAGCAGCCGTGATTCTAACCCTGCCCGGGCACCAATGAAATGAGCAGAGCGGCTTTCAGGTGCACCTGCCGCTTGCTCCTGCCCCCCTCCACACTCTGTCCCCGCCGTCCACTGGCTTCAGGTGGCCTCGACTCCTGCTCCAGTTTAGTTTAATTTCTTTTCTTTTCTTTTCCTTTCCTTTCTCTTTCTTTCTTTCCTTCCTTCTTTCTCTCTTTCTCTCTCTCTCTCTCTCTCTCTCTCTTTCTTTCTTGACAGGCAGAGTTAGATGGTCAGAGAGACAGAGAGACAGAGAGAAAGGTCCTCCTCCCATTGGTTCACCCCCCAAATGGCCGCTACAGCCGGTGCGCCGGAAGCCAGGAGTCAGGTGCTTCTCCTGGTCTCCCACGCAGGTGCAGGGCCGAAGCACTTGGGCCATCCTCCACTGCACTCCCAGGGCACAGCAGAGAGCTGGCCTGGAAGAGGGGCAACCGGAACAGAATCCGGTGCCCCAATCGGGACTAGAACCCGGGGTACCGGTGCCTCAGGCAGAGGATTAGCCAAGTGAGCCGCAGCGCTGGCCCATTTATTTCTTTTTTTAAGATTTATTTTATTTATTTGAAAGGCAAAGAGAGGGACACACACACACACACAGATCTGGCATCCACTGGTTCATTTCCCACAGCTGGTGCTGGTCCAGGCTGGAATCCATCCGGGTCTCCCACGTGCTATGATAGGGGCCCAAGCACTTGGGCATCTTCTGCTGCCTTCCCAGGTGCATGAGCAGGGAGCAGGGTTGGAAGTGGAGCAGCCAGGACGCCAGAGTGGCAGTTTAACCCGCTGCGCCAGGCCACCGGCTCCACCTCCTGGCCCGTGAGGAGGGTGGCTCTCTCCTGACTCCTCCTGGCCCATGAGGAGGGGGGCTCTCTCCTGACTCCTCCTCCCTCTGTCTCCCCCACATAGAACATAGACACCCTGGAGCGCGTGGCGGGGCTGGAGCCAGAGGACCTGGTGGAGGCCCACGGTACCTTCTACACATCACACTGTATCAGCTCCCTGTGCCGGCGTGAGTACTCGCTGGACTGGATGAAAGGTGAGGGGCTGGGGGCTCCTTGAGGCGGGGAACAGGGCCTCCTGGGCACTGGGCTCTGTGGTAGCGGCCCCCACTGGTGGGAGGTGGTGGCGCACGCTGCTGTCGGCCAGGCCCTCCTGAGTGCAAACTGTGGACCGTGGTCTGCAGGTGGCCTGTCCCCGAGGCCACAAAACCCCAGCTCTGGGTCCGGTCAGGTGCCCGTCGCACCTGCCTCCCGAGAAGAGCAGCCCTGGCCTCTGGAACATTCTGGGACGAGAGAAAGGCTCGTTTCTGCGCAGTCTGCGTGGCAGCCCCTTGCAGCCTGTGGCTGTTGAGCTCCGTGCTGGTGCACCCAGGAGCCGAATCGCTCGTTCTGCTTCATTTTTGTTCACTGAAGTTGTTCAAGTCGCATGTGGCTTTGCGGGCCCATTGTGCATGGTGCAAACACAAGCCGCGGCTTGTGACAGCCGGTGTGGATGTGCATCAGGACGAAGGAGCACAGGCCACAGGGGGTTGCGGGAGCCGCCGTCCCAGTTCACACGAGGCCAGAGCTCCAGTCCCCCGAGCCCGCGGCCAGGGCGAGCCTGTCGCCGACGTCCATTGTGCTGGCTGAGGAGCCGCCTGCTGCGGCTGGACGGGTGTCTCTGGCATTCTTTATGCTCAGCTAACAAAGCCGCCGGTGTCCACGTGAGAGCGACAGCTGCAGTCCCCCGGGAGGGTGGCCCTGCTGAAAAGTGGCCAGCTGACCGCCCCCGGGCGTGAGCTCCTGAACCGCAGCCACTGCGTGCAGCTGGTGGTGGGGGGCTGGGGGCCGGCGTACAATCCCCCCCCCCCCCCGGGAGCGTCACCCACAACGCAGCGTCTTGTGCACGCAGCACTGTGCTGGTGTGGGCTGGGAGAATGAATGAGTGGCTGAAGGAATGAGTTAGAGTTCTGAGGGCTGCCAGGGACAGAAAATGCATTCAAGCCTGACAGGGGTGGGATTGTCCCAAGGCAGCTGCACCAGGGGCTCCGTCACGGTCCCCAGGTTCTGTCGCCGTCCCCGCATCATCAGGGGTTCTCCCTCCACTCCCACTCACCCCCCGTTGCCAAACCTGGCAATCACCAGGCCCCCCTGACCCCGGGGAGCCAGGGCTGCCCTCGAAGAGCCCCCTGGAGTCCAGATATCCTGTAACAGAGCAGACCCCACCCCAGGTTCTCCCAGGCCCAGGGGGCGTGTTGGTGCCGCAGCCCCCAGCGCCAGCCCCTCACGGCCCTCTCTCCCCCACTCTCCCCTGCCCAGAGAAGATCTTCTCGGAGGTGACTCCCAAGTGTGAGAAGTGCCAGAGCGTGGTGAAGCCTGGTGAGCTGGGGCCGGGGCTGCCCAAGCTGGCACCTCCCCCCTCCCCCACCCATCCCTTCCCACGGTCACCCGCTTCCACCCTCAGCCCTGTGCATCCTGGGGAGGGGGCAGTTCTGTCTGTCCCCCAGCCGTCTCTGCCCTCAGCCGGCCTCTCCTGCTACCTGTCCCCGCTCCGTGTCCTTGCTCTGTATCCCCCGTCTCTTCCTGCCTGTGACCATCCCCCGTCTCCGCGGCAGACATCGTATTTTTCGGAGAGAACCTGCCAGCGCGCTTCTTCTCCTGCATGCAGTCAGTAAGTGCCTGGCCGGCTGCGGCTGGGGCCCTGTTGCAGGGGGCGCGCGGGGCAGAGCGGCCCAGCCTGGGCAGCGGCCGGGGCCCTCACCGCTGCCCCCCTGCAGGACTTCCTGAAGGTGGACCTGCTCATCGTCATGGGCACCTCCCTGCAGGTGCAGCCCTTCGCGTCCCTCATCGGCAAGTAGGTTGGGGGCCAGTGCGGGGCGGGGCGGGGCGGGGCTGGGCGCTGAGGCGGGGCCAGGACACAGAGCCTGAGCACTGAGCCCTGCGTCCCCCCAGGGCACCCCTGTCCACCCCGCGCCTGCTCATCAACAAGGAGAAGACCGGCCAGGTGAGATGCCTGTGCTCACACCTCCCCTCACCCGCCTCCCGCCTCCGCCTCCGTGTCTGGCTCCCTCCTTCCCCACCCCCACCCAGAGGGAACCCCCATGGGGCAGTCCCGAGGGCTCTAGGGACCTTCTGGGCTGAGTGACAGGTCGCAGCGTCAGCTGAGGAAGGGAATCTGTGTCTCCGGGCGAGGGAGGCGCTGCTGGCTGGGGACCTGCTCCTCTCGACTGTGGCCTCCCTCCTGGGTCCCCGCGACAGGCAGGGACACCCCACAGGATCCCGAGTGCCTGTTATGAAACGGCACAGGGCCCCTCCCACCGCTGTAGCTCACCGTCCCGTCACGTACAGCACCCAAGGCAGTGGGTCAGTAGCTGTCGTGCTGTTTTGTGGAGGGAATAAAGTCAAGGGGGAAATCTGTGCGTGTTTGGGACAGACGCGGTGTTTCTCCGGTACCTTCAACCCCTAGCGGTGACTCCAAGCACGTGGGGCCTGGACACGGGCTTGGGTGGGGCGTCTCTGTGGCCTCACCGCCACCATGGCCCTGTCGGGGACCCCAGACTCCCCGTTCTACAGACGAGGCTCCTGAGCCACAGAGGGGCCGAGTCCTTGACCAGAGTCACAAAGCTGGGTATACAAACCCCGCCCTCGCCCACTCCTCCCCCCTCCCCTGCAGACGGACCCCTTCCTGGGGATGATGATGGGCCTGGGAGGAGGCATGGACTTTGACTCCAAGAAGGCCTACAGGTGAGGCCTGGGCCTGGCTGGGGGGCGGAGGGGCAGGGACCTCAGCCAGGCCTGGCAGTGCCGACCCTTCTCCCCACGCCACAGGGACGTGGCCTGGCTGGGGGATTGTGACCAGGGCTGCCTGGCCCTCGCCGACCTCCTCGGATGGAAAGTGAGTACCTGGACGACCCTAGCCTGCCCCAGGAGCGGACCCGGGACCCTGCTCCTGCCCCCGCCTGACCTCTGACTCCGTGCGCCCCGCCCTGCAGAAGGAGCTGGAGGACCTTGTCCAGAAGGAGCACGCCCGCATAGACGCCCAGCTGGGATCGGGGACCCCCAACCCCACCACTGCAGCCTCCCCCAAGACGGCCCCACTGCCTGCCCAGGAAGAGGCCAGGACCGCAGAGGGAGAGAAACCCCAGTGACGCTGCCCCTCCGGGACAGCTGAGCCCCCACCAGTCCTGGCCCCTCTAACTTGCAGCTCTCATCCGGGGAGCTCCAAACACCCTCCGATCTCGTAACAATCCCCTCCCAATGCTGGGGACCCATCCACCCCCACTCAGCCTTGGCAAGCCTCTAACGTCTCCCAAGGATCTCTAACTGCCCACAGCTCTAACCTGCAGAGCTCAGGAGCCGCCCCCCCTTATCCTAACTGCTCCTGGAGGGCCGGGCTCCACAGCCTCTAACCTGTCCCAGCTGTTCCTGGGTGCCTGGGGCCAAGAACACTACAGCCAACCTCCCCCGAGCAGGGCATGGGCCCTCTGAATGTCTCTCATGCCCAGTGGGCACGGAAAGGACCACCAGGCTTCTGCCTCCAACTCCCAAAGTGGCTGCGGGGCCCCCGGTCCTTGGGGCCCACCTCCCATATGGTCCTTGGGGCCCACCTCCCATATGGGGGATGGGCAGAAGATGTTGCTTCTTGGAGACAAATTAAAAGCAAAAACAGAAACAACTAACCATCAGCTGTGTGGCCTCTCTGTTCCTTTCTGTAGGCGCCCAGGGAAGGAGCTGGAGGGAAGGGGTCAGAGCTGGGGCCACTCGGGAAACAGACCCTGTGCCGGCTCTCTGGAGACGCGGAGCCAGGGGCGCGGGGGGCTTCGTGGTCTGAGCTCTGGATTCCCAGCCTGGCAGAGCCCCTTCCGCCAGAACCCAGTGACTTAAGGCGTAAGGGCCGGAAAGAGGGGAAGGTTCAGATACCCCCAGCCCCGCCTCTTCCCCTGCCCGGTCAGCTTCCTCTCTACAGGGGAGACTTTCACTTCCTGCTCCTCCAAGCCTCCCCTCTGAGAACAGGTAGGGGCCCCCAGGGACCAAGCATCTGGTGTCTTCACCCTCCCCCATTGCCACCCTCTGGCCCCAGGCAGCTGCCCCACCCAACCCTCCTGGGCAGCAACCATGAAGGCAGGGCAGGCATCTGCCACCCTCTCCCCACCCCCACCTTCCTGCTGTCCCCTGGCGGGTGCACCTGCCCTGCCTCCTCCCCGTCACCCGGGTCTTCCCAGGCTGGCTACTGTGTAGCTGTTTATTATCCATATCCTAGGCGCACCCCTAAGAGGGTGGAAGCTCTGGCAAGGGCTGGTGGATGGATGGGTGGATAGATGAGTGCGAGGACAGACGGACGGGTGTGTGGGTGGTTTCCTGCTCCTGGGCTGCCCTGGGGAAGATACTCAGGAGTAGCACCTCTGGGCGGTGGACATACGGGTTTCCCTGTAGAATCCTTTCGTCTTGTCTGTGTTCAAAAAGGTTCCTGAGAGTGCTGGAAACACTGCCTCCATGCCCTGGGAAGGGAGGAAGAGGGAATGTTGCATTGCGTTTGGCGAATTTATGTAGTATCTACTACGGGCTGAGAACTTCTCCAGGTGGCCCCATTCCTACAACTACACTGGGGGTTACCAGCTGTTGTCTTGAGTCCTCTCCTTGCAAAGCTGGCCTCTCTCCTGGGACTCCCCGATCTTCCCACCACCCAGCAGCTACATCACCCCTGGGGTGGGGGTGTTAACCTAGCGACCTAGAGGCCCTGGCCCCATATCAGAGCGCCTGGCTTCCATTCCTGATTCTAATTGCCTGCTGATGCAGACCCTGGGAGGCACAGTGTTGGCTCGAGTCACTGGGTCCCTGCCACCCACATGGCGACCTGGATTGAGTTCCTGGCTTTGTCCTGGCCCAATTCCAGTCATTGTAGGCATTTGGGGAGTGGACCCGTGGAGGGGAGCACTTTCTCTCTCTCTACTCCCCCCCAACACCCTGCAAAAACTAGCCCCTGGCACAGCCAGGGGCCTCGGGAGTCCACTCTGATTAGTCAGGGTCCCTGCCATTGTGGTTGCAAAGATTTTGATCATTATTCCCCCTGGGCTGAACAACCCTGAGTCTCACCTTCCTCCCCACAGAGGCCAGGCCATGGCTCAGTGGCCATCTGCATCCTGAGGATGGCCCAGCCAGAGGACCAGGCCTCTGCAGCTCCCACCAATGGGGAGAGGTGAGACTTGCTGGGTCCAAGGTCTCCATCTCCTGACCTTGGGCCCAGAAACCTCTTCCATCCATTGCCCCTCCCCAGGACCCTGAACCCCAACTCTAGCCCTTTGTCTTTGGGCTGCCCCTTCCTGCACCTTTAGCCACCCCCTGTGTCCAACTGCCCAGCTCTGACCCCTGACCAGGACTCTGCACACCCCAGGTTGGTCCCATTGCGGGAGAATGGAGCAGGCGAGACCCCGCTAGGGGTCCTTAGCATCCGGGAGCCACTTCTGCGCCTGCAGAGGACACAGGGGGTGTGGCAGGTCCCAGAGCTGAGTGACCAGGATGCAGAGGCCATGCTGGAGCTGTGGCCACTGGGGGTGAGTACGACAGCTGGGCACCCGTCCTGACCCTCCCCGTGACCCCTATATCGGCCAGGACCCTGCTGGCTGCTGCAAACCCAGGAGGCTACTTATAGATGCAAATGACAGAAAAACACGGAGGTGGGAGTAGTTGCTATCAGAAAGGTCTGGATCCTGAGCCGCAGGCAGCTGACTGAATTTCTCTCCAGGCCATGGCTTGGTTTTGTTTTCAATCATGGGGAATTCTGGCTGTTCGGAGCTGCAGTAACAAACACCCATTCTTCAGTGGCTCCCACCAACAGGGATGCATCTCTGGGACGTGACGAGAAAGGCGCACAGCTCGGCAGCAGCAAGGCCGGCCTCTCCTTGTGGTCCCTTGGACTTTCCCTGTGGTCGCCCGAGGGCTGCCCCGGGTCCAGGCAGGAAGAAGGGAGACACCAGTTGCACCTGTTTCTTTTACCAGGAAAAGCAAAAAATCCTTTGTGGTGGATTCAAAAAATTCCCATGGGGGATGGGGAGCGGTATGTTATAAAGCCCCCCTGGGAGTTGTACAGCCGGAGCTGAGAGCCACTGCTGGTATCAGTCACCACCCACCTGTTAGAGCCAAGAGTTCTGTTAGGAGTGTGGCTGGGACAGATTTTGAGCAGGCAAACAGCAGCTGTCCTCCACTGGCTGTCCCCAGCTCAGGGCACATCCCACTAGCTGACCAACTCGTGCACAAAGAGACCTCTCTCCAAAGAGCTCCGACAAAAATCCCACGGAAGAAGTCGCTCAGCTGAGCTTGGGTCATGGCCACCCCTGGCCCCAGCAGTGGGCAGAAACCACAGGCATCCCATTGGCTCGATCGGGTGCTGGTCACCCACTGAGGCCTTAGGGGAAAGAGCCCCATGCCCCTGGGCTGGGAGTCGGGAGAGTTTCCCAAAAGGACACTGGGGCATAGAACCTAACACAGAAGAAATGAATGCTGGACACCGCGCCCACCTGTGTCAAACTGATCCCCCACCCCCACCCCCACCCCAGAGTTTCCTGGTTACAGGACACGACCCCAGCCATACTCTGGTGTTGAAGACAGGACCTGCTCCTGGAGAAGTCAAAACCTACAAGATCCAGAAGCTGCCTGGAGGTGAGGCCCCTGTCCCGAGGGTTCAGTGCACGGCACATTTATCACCAAGATCTTTCAGATTTACTCCCAGAACGTAGGCAACCCCCCCACCCCAGCCCTCTGCCTCCCTCACCCAGGTCTGAGCCCCCAACACCTTTTGCCTGGACCCCTGCCCTCTTCCCATTCCTCCCTCTCCTCAATTCATTCTCAGTACAGCAGCCAGAGTGGTGTCATCAGATGTCAGTCACGTGTTCTACTTCCCAGCCCCAATCCTGCAAAAGGCATGTGACATAAACTCCAAGAGGCTGGCGCTGAGGGCGTGGCTGGGATACCACTTAGGATGCCTGCGTCCCATATTGGGGATGCCTGGTGCAAGTCTCAGCTCCTCCACTTCCAATCCATCTTCCTCCTGATGCACACCCTGGGAGCAAGTGATGGCTCAAGTAGTTGGGTCCCCGCCACCCTTGAAGAGGTCTCGGATTGAGTTCCAGGCTCCTGGCTTCAGCCTGGCCCAGCCCTGGCTGTTTGGGGAGTGAACCAGTAGACTGAAGATGGATCTCTCTCTCTCTATTTCAAGTATATAGATAAACACTCCTCGGCACGGCCTAACAGGTGCTGTGTGTTCCAGCCCCCGTCCAGCCCTCCGCCTACTGCCCCTTGTGCACTTGGCTCCAGCCACACTGCTCTCGGCTCTGGTGCTCAGCACCGTGTCTTCCAGCTGAAGGGCCTTTGCTTCGTTCTCCCTGCACGAACGCTCCGCCTGAGTGGTTGCCCTACCTCCGTCCTCCAGGCCTCTGCGGAAGCCCCACCTCCCCTGACCACCACAGCCGAGATGGCTCCACCCCCTTTCAGTGGCTCCGTCTCCCTCCTAGCGCTCAATACAGCACACACGCATCTTTGCGTATTTGTTTGTCCATTTCTCCCCCGCCCCCAGCCGCACTAAAAGTTAGGCTAGAGGAAGACAGCGAACTTGTCTCCTTTCTGACAACTGTATTTCCAGTGCCTGGAAATAAGAGTTTTTTTCTAATGCACGAATCCTACTTGGTGGCCTAAGTGGGACGCAAGGGTCAAGCTGCGGGGGAGGCAGGCGACTCCGAGTGATGGGGCTTCCGTGTACTGAGGGTCTTGGGTGGGGTGGGGTGGGCTCGCAGCCATGGGAAGAGGAGGCTGCTGCCCTCCAGGTGTTCTTCCTCCCCCGCCCCCCTGCCAGGTGTGTTTCTAGATTCCTCCAACCTCTGCATGCCGGATCTGCCCCACCTCCTGGCCTTCCTATCAGCCAGCAGGTAGGGGCCACCTGTCACATTAGCAAGGGAGCCTCTCCCCAAGACACCCCACCCACACCGGCTCCCACTCTTCCTCTCTCAGGGATGTTCTGCCCAGAACACTGCTCTTGCCCCCTTCTGCTCTAGGGCCTGGAGGTGAGCACACAGGTGAGGCACGGTCCTCCAGAGGGGACCGCCTGGAAGGAGCCCGGCTACTGGGATGGAGGGAGCTGGGGAGCTGGACTTCAGGGCCTGAGTGAGGAGGGAGCCAGAGACTTGGAGCTCAGCACCCCCAGGAATGGGGGGCTGGGAACTAAGCCTCCTGCTGGACCCTTGGTCACATGGGACACTCCTGCCTTCCTCCCGCCCCAGGCGCTCTGCAGACTGGCAGGGTCCAGGCTCAGACCTCAGCCGGGGCACTCTTCGTGCTCAACCAGCTCTACCTGGAGACTCACTCGGGCTCAGGGGTGCAGCAGGCCTCCCAGGAGCCGGAGCCGGAGCCGGAGCCTGCCCAGAGAGAGTGTCCAGGTCAGCTGGGGGGGGGGCTGGGCCCTGAGGGAGAAGGGGGCTGCAGCCGCTGCTCTGCGGGACCCCCCAACCACGTCCTCACATCCAGCCCCCAGGAACCCCGGGCCACACCGAGTCTCCTGGGTGGAAGGGCCGCTCAGCCTGGAAGTGCAGTGTCTGGGGCCAGCTCTGGCCAGCCTGGAGGAGGAAGAGGAGGAGGAGCAGGAGGAGGAGGAGGAGCAGCCGCAGCAGCAGGAGGATGACTATGAAGATGA